TAGACATGGTGGGTAAATAACTCTACACACACATATACACACACACACTCCTGGTCCCCAACCTTTGTCTGACAAGCTGCTGTCCCCACTCCCTCGGTAGGGCACAGCATTCCTTCCAGCACACACAATTAGGGGCTAGGAGTGGACGTTGCCACAGACTCTGAGAGTTTCGTGGGCATTACACCTCCCTCAGGGCCACTAGGGAGCATGAGCTAATTGTATTAACAAGTGGCATCTGGAATTTATTCAATTTTACACGAATCCTGTGTTGTTTATGAATGAACCTAACTTGGGAAATGGAGACTGGGATCTCAGAAGTTTAAGAAACAGACCCTTCCCTTGGGAGCAGCAAGCTCTGGCAGGCTCCTGAAGCACTACGGGTTCTTCAGTGCCACTTGGCTCCCCCCGTGGGAGTCTCGAGCTCTCACTCTGCATTACCAGCCCAGAGGAACTGGGAAAGGTCCTACATTCTCCTGCCGTAAAGTGGACGTATCTGCCTGGAATTGGAAAAAGAGAGGTCTTCCCAGGGTCCTGGAGTTCCCGAGTTTGGCTTCAGTTGGGGTAGGGACTGGAGGGGTCGCTGTTCTGTGCAACTCAGGAGTGCTTGGGTTGGTGTACTTTTTTTCCCACTCAGAATATAAAATAGGAAACAAGCTGTACATCTTTGAAAACAGACTGGGGGAACCATGCTGTAAAAGAAATCAGGCAACTCAAGCCCACTTGATGAATAACACCTACTTCATGAGAAGGAGAAGCAGGACAAGGACCTGCTCTTGAAGAACAAACCAAAAAAGCAAGGCCAAAGGACCTTGAAACTGTTAAGAGGCACTCATGCCCCAGCAGGACTGCGGCCCAGGCCATGCTGGTTTCAGGTTCCTCCTCGCTACAGAGATAAATGGCTCACGGAAACATTATCCAAGTAGTTTCACATCAAAGGCTACATGGCCAGCTGAGTTTCCTTTTAATCTAGCCAATAACCAAGTGAGAATTCGACAATGTGCTTGCTTAGGAGAGGGCTTCACGCCGTTGCAGACGGGACTTTCCCATGCTCTCGCTCCCGGCCGGTGTCTGCTGAGGAGCAGTTGTGTGGGACACTCGGGGTGGCACAGACAGCCTGGCCAGAGCCTGCGGGTCTTGTAATCACCCTACAGAGGGTCTGAACACTGCGCTGAATACACACCAAAACTTGGGGCACAGTCGCAGCTGCATTCATCTCCCTCGCTCCCAGCTGGCTTGAGGAATTCAGACACGGTCCCCCTCCAGGCCAGGAGGCCTCCCCGGAAACTCACAGGAAACCCACCCTAGAGTGAGGGTCTACAGGATGGCCTCAGAGCTGGGTGAGCAAGGACGTGTTCTCGTGTCCTGCAGACTGATCAGCAAAGCAACAGAGGGTCCTTTTGTTTTTGCTTTTTGTAGTTGTTCAGAGTCGTGTGGGTGCAGCACGATGTCTCAGACCAACTGAAGAAATACGTCATCCATGAGGTTCAATCCTCACCCCACTCTGTGGGGCGGGCAGGGCAGGAACGATCATCTGGATCCCACAGAGGAGGAAGCGGGGCCACACAGAAATTAAGTGACTTACCCAGTCACTTACTCACACAACTTGTAAAACTTACACAACTTGTAAATGGCTGGTAAAGGACTCCAAGTGAGGACTTCTGATCACTTTTCTGGCCCTCTGGTGTAACAGCTTCACTCTGCCACTTTGTTAGCTATTTCTGTGGGCAAGTTGTCACTCTGGATTACCAACCAAGAGGACATGGGAAAGGTTCTATATTATCCTTCCATAAAGTGCAAGTATGGGCCTGGCAAGGAGCTACAGTGAGAGGGCAAAGAAGGCCACTGACTCTTGGCTGTGAGTTACCACATTAGACTGTGAGCCTCACAGGGGTGGGAGCCAGGCCTGCCTCCCTCTGTATCCCAGCACCTGTGCCGGCGGCTGGCATAACAAACATCTGTGGAGGGAGGGAAGGAGAGGGGAGCGAGGAAGGGAGCTTAGCTTCTTAGGATCACCAGTCTGCAGGGTCAGCTCTTCTCTCATCAGATAACAGCGACCCCTAAGAAGAGTGACAGGACTTTGAGGAATGTGTATTTTCCAGCCTCATTGTGGCTGCATTAATTTCCCATCTTTGTTTTCTTTTTTTGAAACTCCCACTTTTAATTCATGTGATTTTGTCATTTTTACTATTCCTGTTACATTTTAAGCATTCTTGTGATTGACTTTAAATATTTCTGGGATGTCAGTCAACGGAAAAAACTAGAAAAATAAATGACTATATAAATACATATACCTGGCAATGAGCATTTCTGTTCTGGCTGCAGCAGAACCCCTACCTCTGCCAAGAATGCGGCCAACGTGGCACCAACAACCTCCGTGTGGAGACTTTTTCCCACAGTCTCGCTATCCCTCCTCTTCACACCTTTCCAAATTCTGCTCGCTCTTTATCGCTTATCCCAAGGCGAGTTTCCTCCTCCCGCCCTCCGCCAGCTCATCCAGCTCTAGTTTCTTCCAACTTAACGTGGAATGTCTCCATTGTGAGTGCTTGTCCTCTTTTTCCATGGGCCTCTGAGGTGGGCAGGAGCCTGGAGCAGCGCAGAGCTGGTGCCACGTAAACACTGGCTGACTGGTGACGAGCCTGCAGGGCGGCTCAGGAGAGGCCTGAGGATTGTGAAGGCTGTTGCTGAGCACCGTGCAGCTCTGTGAAAGTCCTCCCTGCTCTGGGCATAAAGCGCATGCGCCGCAGTGGCTGCTTATCATCTCCCTCAGCTAAGAGACACCCCCAGTCTTAACTTCCTAAGTGAAAAGAGAAATTCAAAATCCCCTAAGGCAGGGGCTCCTCAAACCATCCTCGTCCTCTCAACCTTCTTGCTGCCTGCCTCCTTGAGCTCTCTTCCCTGGGCTTCTGTGGGATACCTCCGGCCTGATTTCCTCCTATGTCTCCGACTACAGCCTCCGTTCCTTCTGCTCGGCTCCTTCTCCGTGGCCCTGGTGTTGTTTTATTCTTGCATTTTCTGTACATAGAGCCCTCCCTTTTATGTTCATGCCATGGTCCAGTCACCTGAGCCTGGTTCCGATCCCCTCTCTCCAATTGCCTGCTGGAGATTTCTGTCTGGATATCTTGTCATCACTCCAAAATTTACATGTCCAAAGCCTGAAGTCAAGATCTTTCCCCAAAACCTTGTTCCATGTTGCAACTTCTGTGGCAGTGGCACTGCCATTTCCTTACTCAACCAGGCTGGAAATCCTACTCATTTACTTTTCATTCTTTCACATTCATTCAACTTCTGCTCACTTCACCACTGATTTGTTTCCTTCCTCTCCATCCCCATGACCCAAGCCAGTATCACACCAGCCTCATCTCATAATCAGTCTGTTTCTCCTCCCATCCACTCTGCTCCAGATTCAGTATGCTCTAACCATTGCCTCATCACTCTCCAGCTCAAAACCTACTAGAGACTCCCTATATCCTATGACAGTACCATGGAACACTGGCTCACCCCCAAGACCCTCTGCAATCTGGCCAGCACATGGGGCCTGCACTTGCCAGTCTATCTCCTTACCATCACATAAGCTTGCCTTGGCCGCACCTCTGTGCCCCGGCAGGTTACTCTTTTACCAGGAATGCCTTCTTCTTGCTCGCATGTCTATTCAAATTACATTCCTTCCTCAAGCCCAGTTCAAAACCTGCTTCTACAAACTCCCCTCTTTGATTGTCCTCTTCTCTTGGATGCCTTCCTATTCTACTACACAGTCCAGTAAAGTCACTGTTTCTGTCCTTTAGTCCCTACATCATAATATACTTGTCTAAAATATCAGGAAAAAGAATGAGATCATCAATATGAATGCACTGAGATTGTTTTAGAGTAAAGGGTACAACAGAGATCTCAGGGGTTAACAGTAAGAAAAAAACCCATAAATATGCAGTACTGATGACAAATGACCGATGAGCATCTCTGTGTTAGTTTCTGTAATGATATTTGTAACGCCATCTTCATTTGCCTTTATGTTGAGATCACAAAGAGATAAGGTTTGAGGAACTTTATGCTTTGAAGAACCATCAAATTACGCCTATCTTATTTCCAATTCCTGCTATTTATAAGCTCTACAGTGGCGTCTTCCAGAGAACTTTTAAATAATTACTCCATGCCTATCTCGTTCTCATGGTGTCATGTTCTTCCTCTTGGCTCAAAGTAATGAACATGAGGTAGATTTGCAGGGAGCCCACATCTTATATTTCAGAGTTCAACCCAGTGCCCTGGGGACTGCACTCTCCCATGCTCAATCTGTTCCCCTGAGGGACAAGAAATCAGCAGTCAGAGCAATGACTCCGAGTCCAGAGCAACACGCCACTCCCCACGTCTGATTTCCTCTGGGGCTAGGTCATCCGTTTTTGTTTTTGTCTCACTTGACCGGGACTTGGGTGGAGATTCCAAGGGATGGAAGCAGGGGAGGTGCAGGTCTAGAGGGTAGAAACCACTGCCCAAAAGATCAACCCTGAGAACCAAGAGAGAGCAAACAAGCTCTAGCTGGTAGTACAGTCACCATTACAGCTGCCTTGCTCCAGCTGCAAAAATACTGCATCAGGTTGTCAGCTTTTGACTTCATTTCACTTTGGTAAATAAAAATAAAGCTGCTGCTAAATGCCATCAGCAGTGTGAGCTCTCGTTGCGTAGTTCATGTTTGTGAGAACAAGGCCTTAAAAACTCCTTTAACGTTTCAGCTTTTGTGGAGGCTACTTTCAATGAAAATTTTCACTTCATATATTTCATACATAGCTATATTGTTTGCCACACAAAACTGTATGCATACATGGGTTTTAAAGAGTGTCAGAAAATAAGGGTCTTGTTTACCTTCCTGCACTCTGTAAAAATACCCTCCCAGACTTCTGGTCAGTAACCAGAGAGCAACACAGCTGAAAAACCCAGCAGCTGAGAGGAGGTCCCAAATGTACCTAGGATGACACAAAGACTTACAAACACAGCCAAATAATCCCAAGGAGTACACAATATAAATGCTTTATTGCTAGCACAGAGGTTTCTTTTTAAGTAAATTAAAAGAAATAAATCTTCATTTTCACATTCTATATTGCAGTGTAAAGGTAACTAGCTGGTTAATGGATATTTTCACTTGGACACACGCTATAGGAGGAGAGCATGACATTCACATGGAAGAACTCAGAAACGTGGCATCTCTCAAGGCATCGGGCCACTCAATGCACTGTCGTTTGTCAATAACAGCAAGTAGAGATTTCTTTAAAGCCTCCTGACTAGACAGGGGTTATAATAGAAGACCGGTATGGCCAGAAAGCAGAAGGCTGTTAAATAGAGAAGGCTGCGTATGTTGCCCATATTTCATGACCTCTAGATTATGTTTGGTACTTTTAAATAAATGATCTTCATCTAGGTCAGAGACTGGACTGGATTTGGCGGCCGGAAAGAGGAAAGAAGGAAAGGAAGCCGACACTGCCCGCATCGAACTGGTGGATTCACCGGAAAGCAGAAGAGGAGTGTGTGGCTGGGAGGAAAAAGACTGGCTGCCGCACGCCTCCAGCTTGGAAGCCGAGAGGCAAGAATGGTGAGTGGCTGAGCCACAGGCATGATGGAGCAGCTCTGGTGGAGCACGGCAATCGTGGCACACCGGAACTCTGCGAATGGAAAAGGCAACCTCCAGGCTCGGCCAGGGTTCCCAGGTTACTGCCCAGGGATTTAGGGCATGACGGGCCCAAGGCGCACCACAGCACGGGGCGCAGCAGGAGTTGGTGCAGTGGGGGCCGGAGCAGGGGAAGCTACAGATTCCAGCTGCAGAGTCTGTTCACTCAGTAAGAAGTGTCAGCCAGTGCTGAAAACGGAATTACTTCTGCAAGGCACCCAACATTACCTTTATCCAAATTCTTGAGCCTACTCAGATCGTTTTTTGGTTGATTTTAAAGATTAGCTTTGGAAAAGATTTTATCAATCTATGAAAAACAATGCACCCCCTGCCTTATTCCAGAATAACCCAGAAGGAATTAAATGTGTGTCTGGGCACACATGTGCCTGCACGCGCACAACCTCCCACCCCAAAACCATGCAACAAACTCAGAAGCTGTGAACTACACATGATGGTCTCCAGATCTCATCTTCCTGATCTTTCACTCATGTTATTTATGGATGTAAGGCAACCAGATTGGGTCAGGACTATTCCAAGTTCTCACTTCCTAGCCCATCTGCAGGGTACCAGCTCCTGGCATTTTCAGTCTGGTCTGGCTCTAACTAAAACCATTTCATGTTTTGCTTTGAAGAAATGGATAACATGAAATGGTAATTTGGCTGCAAAACCTTGGAAAATTGTTCCCGGCCCAAACATCTGCCCCAAATGAGCTCAACTGAGATCTCCTTGGAGGAGCGGGAGAGGGGTCAGCAAGGAGAGCCGGAAGGGGGAAATGAAGACAATGGAAAGGCCACCTTCCCTCAGGAGGAAAGTTTTGTGACAAAAGGCATCAGCGAATACAGCTCCCTCCTTCTGCCCCTCACTGCGGAAGGAGACAGTGGATATGCCCAACTACCTCTTACCTTCATCCCGCTCTCCCCATATTTGGTATCATTAGGTGATCCCTCACAGAGTGCCAACTGGTTTGCTCTAGTTATGCAGTGACTGGCCTGGCCTACATATTATTATTTAAATCTTTAAATAAGGACCGAGTATCAGCTTTGAATTCCTGAGAGCTGGGCCCCACAGGGAAAGCAGAGAGGGAGAGCGTGCAGGCTGGCCTTCACCTTCCTTCTTGGTCATCTTAAGAGTTCTTCTGGGGGATCTTTACTGTCACAGTCTTCACTTCGGAGTACTCTCGCAAACCAAATTCTCCCCTGGAAAAAAGAGATGGGTAGAATCAGATACCAGAGGCTCAAGCAGCCCAACCTGAGCGATGATAAGAGTCGTGGGAAGGTGCAGTTGACCACCTACTGACAGCAGACCCTGGGATTTTCTTGTAAAAATTCCTAATGGATGGACAGCCCAGCCATCCTCTGAGGAGCTGGGAAAGCTGTCATTTCATGAGCAGTCACTGTTTCTTAAAGGTAAATGATGATTCATCTTCACAATATAGCCTAGAAAGGCAATGATTCTCACCTACTCAGAGAAACAGACCTGGGGGTTAGCTTGGGCCAGCAGTTACAGAGACCAGGTTGGGCCCCTGGTGGGCCCTGGGGGCAGCAGCAGGACCAGGCCCCAGGTCTCTGAATGCCTGGGCCAGTTTCTCCCCAAGGCAGCACTGGCTCTTCAGGACTATGTGTGCCTTGCTCTTCAGACCCCACATGCCTGTCACCGGACCCCCAGGATGTGTCTGCTCTCCTAGAGATCTAGTCCATGGGTAACTGGGAGAAAACTACAAAATTGCCAGGCTAGGGGCCTCTCGGGTGGTATTCTAAATTCCTTCTCATTGGTCCTTAGAGTTAATAAATGGAAATGAATACCCAAAGGCCTACCACAGAGGAACACAAATCACCTGCAATGCCTTAAACATATAATCCTGAATAAGCACTGTCCACAGATGCCCCAGAGCCAGGGGAAACAGTCAGGAAATCAAAATAACTGACTATAAAAGAACTGGGAAGTGGTAGGGAGCTGTCCCCCAAGACTCTTCTTTCCTCACTTCCCCTCCTGGCTCACAGAGCCCTCTGGGATGTTGGTCACGGACCAAGGAACGCCATTCACTTGATAAACAAGCATCTACTGAGTTATTAGTATGGGGCAGCACCACGCAGGGTTGGGTGAAGGAGAAACCAAGTAATCGGTCCCAGCCTCTGAGGAGCTTGCAGGTGGCTGGGCCTGAGAGGGCGGCGGTGGGAGCTGGGTCACTTGTCTGTCTAGGTGGCCACCGGAGGCACAGCCCTGCCCAGCCCTCAGACACTCTGCAAGGCGTTTTCCAACCACCGTATTAAGGATGCTGGGGTGTGGCAAAGCCTCGTTGCTACCACGTTCCTTTCTTCACTTCTCCAGTCCCAGCTCATTTTTACCTCATTTTAATTGCCTTTGGTTTCTTTTCTCTATTTCACTGCAAAATCAAGCATGTTCTCCTAATTCTTTTCTTTAACATACTTGAGATTTTTCCCTTCTAATCTTTTTAAAGTCACTCCTCTGTGAAGCTTTTCCTGGCACTCTCAGCAGGAGCTCTCCACCCTTCCTCTGTGCTCTGAGAGCGCTTGGCACCCGCCTCCATCACAGTGCTGTCACACAGCGAGGGGCTGCTTGAGGACCTGTCCCCCCCACGAATCTGTATCTTACTGATCTGGCTGGCTGCCCTCTACCAAACCTAGCGTGTGGCCTACGGCATCAGGCTCGAGGAAGGCACTTGATCACTGTGGGAGGAAGGGAGGAACGGAGGGCCGGCGCACTTCTTGCCAACCCCTTCCCCAGTTCTACCCAGTTAACAGATCTGCCATCTCTGTCAGAAAAGAACAAAAGAACACTTGGAGATACATTCAAATAAGAAAGGATTAGGAAAGGCTGTCTTTAAAAACAGTCACATATAAAAGGCACAAAGTTACTGTAACTGGGCTTTATAGTGGAGATCTGCTGTAAATGACTCCTTCTGCTTCCTTCTAAGAATCCCCATGGCCCTACACAAGGTTCCAATCACTTCGCCAGCAGCTCCTCTGAGCACCAAGGGCACGTGAGTTGACACGGCCCAGGGACATCAGCGGGCAGCCAAGGAGCGCCTGGGGCAAGCGTGCTGTTCTCTCATCGGCACTGGCCATCTTGCTCACAGGAATGAGAAGAAACTTGGAAATGCCCCCCTCAGTAAATGGTCCCCTCATTAGCCCCATCCAGGCTCCCAGTCTCTTTATTACCAGCTCAGCTCTGGCTCTTTCTGAACTTTTTCCTGCCCTTGGGCAATTCAGAAAATGTCTCTTCATCACGGACATCATCTGGCTCCTGTTTGAAGTAAAGTTACTCCCTTCTGGTTTCCTGGCTTGTGCACGCACTTGGGGCAGACCCCGAACCACTTTCCTCCCGCTCAAATCTATAACTGGGTTGTGAGAAACGGAAGGAAGTCCACAGTCAGAAGTCTCACGAGATGGCTGCTTTCGAATGTGACTGTCGGATCCTAGTACTCTTTGGGTGTGTGAGGCAATGGAAAAACCTGCTGGACTGGAGGTGCTCCTCTCCTGGGTCCCAGGCAGCCACTTGCCACCATGGTCCATACACAGCCTGCTCCGGACTCAAATCTGCCATAAAAAGTACACTGGAGCTGGGGCTCAGCAGACAGGAGTGCCAACTCGGCTCTGCCATTAACTGGCTGTGTGACTCCGGCCGAGTCACCCTCATCCTCTTGGTGACCAGTCATCTCTCAGGCAGTATCCTGAACGTCAGCAAATATAAGTATCAGTCGTGAGCTTGCTTCAACCATAGATTCCTGACCCTCCTCCTCCAAAGATTCTGCGTTAGTAAGTCTGAGGGGACCCAGGAGATTGTGACACAGCTGGTTACCTGCCCACCCTTTGCGGCTGTAAGGTCTCCGAAAGCCCGGAAGTTCAGCGTCTTGGGTTATTTCACCATCTCATTCCAGAGTCTCTCTCTCAAATCGCCTTAAATTCTACTTACTCCAGTTCAGTTCTGTGCACACACAGTTCCGCAGTTACGGAGGAGCTCCACTACTGCACGGAACGCAGACGTGGTGTTATCGACACGTCCCGACCTCTCCACACAGTCACCCGCAGAGCCTGACAATGGATCAGGGCAGCGGCACATGCAGAAGCCTGCACTCCTGCTCCTCAGGCAGACGCGGTTGTATTCCCTAATTTGAAGCAAACTTGGCATGCCTACAGGTGAGGTGAGATCTTAGATTTCCGTGTCTCTCAGCCAGCTGTTTTAGGAAATCAGTCAGACTCACACATAAAACAAACAGGGATTTTGGTTTACGGTGTATATTTCCCTGCCCATTTCTTTGGCTTACAGCAGCATTTCTCAGAGCAGGGTCTCCAGACCACCTGCATCAGAATCATTCCAGAAGCTTGTTAAAAATGCAGATCCTGGGCCCTGGCCCAGATCTACTAAATCAGAATCTCTGAGGGTGGGTCCCTAGACAGGCTTGCTTAGCAAGCCCCTTCCCCCAGATGGCAGGTGACTTTCTGCACACACATGCACGTGTGCACACAGACGCAAACTTGGGAAGCCCTTATTTAGAGTATCCTAACAATGCTTCTCATCTTCAAAGCCTGTGTCTTTAGTTTTTAAAATGCTGCGGTTCACGGCTTTCTTGTCATCCCCTCGGTTTGTGACACATATTTTATAGCTTGAGCTCTACGACTCCTTGTCTCAGGGGAGCTTAAATGAGGAAGTAAGGAAAAGCACAGGAGAGGGAAACAGACGGAATCAGCTGGACAGGCAGCACTGACAGACTCGGGCCAGTCTCAGACCTAGGAGTCAGAGGCCGGCCCCTCAGGTGACCTGCAGAGGGCAGCCCTCTCCACAGCTCTCTGTGGGGGCGAGCTGAGGGGCTCCGCCAGCACTCCCTGTAGTCTCGTTCCAGAAAGTCCTACTTCCCATCTCTGTTCCTCTTAGAGGTGGGCAGAGATGTCAGGGACCAAAGCTGCATGGAGTTGCAGGCCATGCGAGGAACGATTCGGCCCGGATGGAGGGTTATGTGGAGTTTCTGGGACTGTGTTAAATGAGAAGGAAGAGTGGGGACCAGGACAGGAGAGGTGCTTTTATTTGAAGCGTTTCCTACCACTCTAGGTCATTTAAGGAAGATAACACATGTTTGGGAGGCAAGTAAGGACAAGGAACCATACAATTTACACAAGATGAAGTGAGTCTCATCAGAGAGCACTGTTTCCTAATTATTTGTTAACCGTACCGGGAAGGCCATCACTACAGAGCCTATGAGACGAGTTGAGAGAGGCTGTTCTTCAGTCTCTTGGTCACTGTTCTGTGTGGTTCTGACCCAGCAAACTGTCTCCTGGACCATATTTCTAGAAAGGGGGAACGCTTCCGATAGGAAAAGACTGGATCTGGACAATGTCACAAGCCTGAGTGCTGGCAGGACGCCTGCCTCTGATGAGGGTCCAGGCCCAGCCTGGGATTAGGAGCCATTGACCAGCGATTATTCATTACAAGTATATTTTATGCCCATGATTCACCCTGTTAATGATCTGTAACAACAGTCAAGGCGAGCAGCATTCCCAGAACCAGTGACTGCCCCGACAGTTCAGAGACTGGGAGAGCACAAACACAGGGGCAAGAAATGAAATAAGTTGAAGGCATCTTGAAAAGTGGAAGCAGAGAGTTAAGGCCCCATGCAAGTTAAGAAGAGATACCTGGAGGACGTGAAGACGTTACAAAAGCTGAAGGAATGCTAACAACTGGGCAAACAGGGTCCAGATTGGTTATGGGCTCTGGCTGTAAAGCAAGCGAGAGGGACGGGAAGCCAGAAGCAAGGGTGCAAGCAAAAGCAGTTTCTCCCTGGCAGTGCCAGAGACAGGACGTAAGCTGGTGATACTAGCTGGAAATGAGGAAAAATTCTGCCACACTTCCAAAGTAATATGTTTATTAAGAAAAGAGAGGATCACCTCTATGACAGTCACCTACTTCATCAATATGATGCTAGCAGCTAAGATTTTCTGAAAGTTTGCCAGACCCTCTGCTGGATGTTTGGCGTAGTACTTAATCCTAACACTTAATCCTCACAGCAACCCTCTGGGGGTAGGTACTATAATTATCCCCATTTTGTAGATGAGGAAACTGAGACTTACTGAGATTAAGCAATTTGTCCAAAGTTGTACAGGTATTAAGTGGTAGGCAGGATATCTATCTGAGCAGTGTGATTCTAGAAGCTCTGCTTTTAGCCTCAAAGCTATACCTGCTTTATGGTTTAATGGCTGGGGCTAGAAATTACCAGCTAAAGTATCTGAAGCATGAATATCCTCGGCGCTAGTCTTATGGGCTCACTGCACTTTCCCCCAAACACCATACTTATTTCTCCCACAATGCCTTTACTCCCTCTTTCCCCGCTGCTAGCTTGCTTTGCCTGCAAAAACTATTCCCCTCTCTCCATCTACCCAAAGCTTCCTCTCCTTTAAAGACCAATTCAAACCCCTCTATTAGATCATATCTAAAGGTTTTCCAGACTTCTCCAGCTCCCAATGATCTCTCCCATCCCTGAACTCCTCTATCACTTCATAGTCTTTTCTGGAATTCTTCTGATTCTTTCAATGTTGTGTATTTCATTTATCCACAAAATTTTAAGCCCCTCAATGAGCTGCATCTTCCCCCACAGACCAAGCATCAGGCTTACCATATAGCATATGCTCAATACTTGGTAGTAGATTGATTGTGAACTAAGCATTTGCTCAAAAAAGGAAACATTCAGTAATGGCAGAGGTAATGGGCAGAGATGTTCCCTCTTGTGAGTCACAGGATTCAGAAAACATGAATCTAGCTCCTTTCAAAATGAAGGAAAAAAATTTTTTTCGAAGGGGGGGTTATGTCACCTCAGAAGACCCTGACTACCATTCATCCTCAGAATGCCACTGAAAAAATCCATTTATATATGACAACTGCAAGTAAAATCCCTCGTGAGTCAAGTTTTCTCTGTTCCAGGTCCACTTTTCAGGTCCTCAGCATCGCAGGAGGACTCAGCCTAGCTCTGATCCTGTGCCTGAAGAGTCCTTGGGCCTGGCGCCCGGGATTCCTTGGCTGGATATTGTGGGAACTAACTGCATTTGGAGCCACTGAGGCCTAGCTTCAAATCTCAGATCTGCCACTTATTGGCTGTATGACTTGGGCCAGCTACTTAACCACTCGAAGCCTTAGTTCCTCATCTGAACCATCTGTAATACAAAGACACGCATATCTACCCCATAGAATCATTGTGAAAATCAACCAAATCAATGTTAGGAAAGAAGTTAGCATAAAGTCAGACACAGGGCAGGCATTTAATTAAGGATATCTATTACTGTTATTGCAAAATCCTTCTCAGGGGTCTTCTTTCTGTAATCGCTGTCAAAACATCTTCTATATGCCGAGAATCTTGGCCTTAAAAATTTTGCTATCTACTCAGCTCCCATAGAACGTCCTTTAAAACCCTCTGAGATTGGGTTTAAGCCAACCTTTCTACTATATCTTCAGCAGGTCCCCCCATTCATCCTGTGCCCTAACCCTGTATTCCCAGCTTCAAAGAACCTACGAGCAGGTGACGTGAGTGAGTGAATTCCATGTGTGTAAAATGACTGACAACCAATATTCAGCCCCCAGAAGCAACAGGAGTGGTGGGAAATATGCCGAATTGCAGTGCTCACAGCTGTGGCAATTTTGCTATGGGGGAATGAAAATAAGGAAGAAATCCAGAATTTATGTAAAGCCTCCTCATTTTTGAACAGCAGGTAAAGATTTTTAAATGCTGTGGGGCAAAACAAAACATTTCTGCAGATTTGTCCCTGGATTGGCAGTTGGTGACCTTTGTTGTAAACACACCAAACTCGGTTTTGTTCCCTGATGATTCCGCATTTGTCATGCCTTCGTGTCTTTGTTCTTGCTGTTCCCTCTGCCTGGAATGCCTGCTCCTAAAAAATGAAATGTTATTTCCTCTGTGACGTCTTCTCTGACCCCATTAGGCAAAATTAATTGAGTTTCCTCTGTACTTACACGATGTTTGACGTGCTTCTATAATAGCCTTTATTATATGGAATTACTGGCACATTAATTCTTCTCCATTCCCACTTAAGGTAAGGGAGCTGTGTTTTATTCATTTCTGTAACATGTAGTACGGTGCTCAGCTTACAGGAGTATGTGTTCAACAGAATGTTTGTTTAATGAATGGATGACAGTAAGAGAATTAAACTATTTTCCTCTACGCTGATATTCACAATCCCTACTTCTCTGCAGGCACCAGCAGCTTTGAACACTTACATTTCTCTCCCATTTCCAGACATCTTGAATCCCCCAAAGGGGCTCTGGGCGTTTAAGGCATTGTAACAATTGATCCTAAAAGAACAAAACATAGTACTGTTAGTATGAATTCTGCTTGCACAGAAATAATCCCACTGACATGATATTTCTTTTAAAAGTTTTATTTTTTAGTTTCTTTTTTCCAGATGAAAAATTTACAGCTTAAGATTTACTTTGATTTCCTGATCTAGCCAGTGAGGAGGGCATCCCTTCTCTGGTGAAGTCTGGTTGCCTTCGGTCTTCCCCCAATTTTCAAAAGACGTGCATTTATTTCACCCAGGCTCCGGGGAATTACAAGACCCCTCCACCACCAGCAGAATGTGTTATGGCCAGAACAACGAGACTGACTCTGATCTTACCAAACCGTCCCAGCCTGCATTGCAGAAGACACTGTGAGGGCCTTGTTGATGTCATTAGTAAAGACAGCTGCTACGAGTCCAAAGTCTGAGTTATTGGCTCTTTCAATAACTTCATCCATAGTCTTAAACCTCAGAATTTCCTGAACGGGGCCAAAGATCTGCAATGAAATAGGTTGACCCAACATGACTGCTCTGCCATGCCTTCACCTGCTTTCTACATTTCAAAGCAAAGTTACTCTGCCTTCGTTATTTAAACGCCATTTAAGTTTAGTAACACAAAACTGTAAAATATCCCACATTTTCCCAGAATAAGATTACATAAGAGTCTACCCCTAGAGTTTATTTAACACCCCCACATCCCCACCCTCCCTGGCCTCCCTTGATTCCACTGTGTGTTGGTTCTCCATGAGCCGCAGGCATGGCTCCGGAACTGAGAACTACCGCTCTAGATGGCTGGCTTATCTGCAACTGGTCTTTCTCTCACATAAACGTGATGATTGGATGTTATCTCTTTCCTGGTTAACACCCTTGTGACTCACATTTGGGGGAAGTGAAGTGTTCCCATTTGGGGGAACTGAAGTGCTCCCAGCGCATTACTGAGACCGATGATTGGCTATTACGAGTGTTCTGTTGGCTAATAACAACTGCAGTCATACAGCATGTCACCTGGCCTCCATCTAGCTTGCATGCCTTTTTGTTTAACTTTTTTCCTGAAACTGGGATTTTCATAGCCATGTTTATTGCTATTATATAATGTATATAAAATACAAAGAATTAAACTCTAATATCGTTTGCTGGAAATGCTCTGGAAACCATCCCAGGAAAGATGTGGCTTTTGTTAGAAGTCCGTATTCGATACCTCTTCCTTCGCAATCCGCATGTCATCAGTGACGTTGGAAAACACCGTGGGCTCGATGAAAAACCCCTTCCGGCCCAGCCCTTTGCCTCCACATTCCAGCTTGGCACCCTCGGCCACACCACTCTGGATGAGTTCCAGGATCTTGTTGTATTGTTTCTTATCAATCTACAGAAGAAATTACCTAATGACTCCAAGCAAAATCTTCCATAAAAATGGAAATAAGCATATTCTCAAGAATCTCTCATTTGTGATTTTTTTCAAGACTTTATTAGACCTAGTCAAATCATATGGAACTGCTGTTATTTAACCATTTCTGATCTACAAAAATGGGAATTTTGAATGGTTCAACCCAATATATTGAGAATTCCAGTAAACGCACTCCTCTGATGATTACTGCCGAATCAGAAGTACCAGGTGAAGATTCAGGCAATGTTTCTAAACGATACAGACACTGGATAACTGGCTATTCACTGCTTACAAGGGGGAAAATTGAGCTCTATAACCAAATGAATACTTTAGCAATTTGTACTGACACTAAAAAGATGAAAACAACAGATGAGCTAACATACAGCCTCTTTACATTTGCTACACATCAGGTCCTATTGGGGTATATTTTTAATGGAACTACTACTACACCTTTAGAGCAAAGGATCCAGTTAAAGAGTAAAGGCTAGCTTCCTAGATCACAAAATAAGGTCAGTCTTGCTCCCCAAAGTTATAGAGTTATCACTCAATTATTACGGTAAATAATATAAAAACCTACATTCACCTGAGTTTGAATTGCTCAGCTAGAACATCGATCTTCTCTCAAATGGCCTCAAAACCAAGGAGATGTTATTTCTTATCAGGAAAACCCACACTCTGGTGGCCCAGATGAGATCTGGTGCACATATTCCCTTAAAAATTCTCAGATTCTATCTACCGTTTGAAACCAGAATTCCATCTGGAAATATGCCTGGATGATTGTGGAGAACCTGCAGAGCTAAGAGGACATCCTGCAGGACTGTGCAGGCCCTCACCAGTCCGCCACAGTACATGAAGCATTCAGAGCAAGAGAGAACGCACGCAGAATGGAAAGCAGACAGCCCGTCATTTCCTACACATTTACAAGCTACAAGTGATATCCCCAAAGTAGGTCAGGTTGGTGGAGAGAATCCTTGGCAGGTGGTAAAAGGATAAATGACTTCCGGGAATAAGAGATACCCACTGTCCTTGACTGTAGCATCTATGGGGATGTCTTGAGGTCCAGTGGTTGGGGCTGGGTTCTAGTGTCAAGATCCACCTTGTCATGCCTGGGTCTTTCCTTAGAGTTGAGAGACTCCAATTTATCCCAAAGTTCAAGGTATCCTTAAAGCAACCCTAAGTCCTTAGTTTCTCAGAGATGAAATTTAGAAATGGAAAGAGAAGCATAAGAAATAAGCAATGCCTCACTGGCCACACTTCCAGCCATGAAGATAAAGCAGAAGAGTAATGAGGCAACAGAAAAAAGAAGATGGTACTTTGTTGGGTCTCACTAGAGTGTCATGCTCACCAGGAATTAAGTAAAGAAAGGGAATGTTTATGATTTCTCTACCTGGGGTCCCTGCTCAGTGGTGGGGTCAAATGGACTCCCCACTATGCGCCTCTTGGCCCGCTCCACGCTTCTTCTCACAAACTCCTCGTAGATGGACTCCTCCACAAAGATGCGAGACCCCGCGGTGCAGCACTGGCCTTGGTTGAAGAACACGCCCTGGTGAGCCTGCTCCACGGCATAATCCACTACGAGAGGAAACAGCCATGTTCTCAACACTGCTTCGCCTGCAGAGGGCCTGTCTACGGAGCCACCTCCCTCCGTTCTCCAAAGCCCCAAGTGTAATGTCATGCTCATCACAGAGCCTAATAGTGAGTAGCAGGGTGAAGAGCCCTGGACCGAGAATGCAATTTAGTTCTGATTCTAACTAGACCCTCACGTTACTTGCTATGTTAACTTGGACATCTTCACTTCTGTGAGTCCCTGTCTTCTGTAAAAAGAGGGAGTGGACCAAGTCATCTCTAACGGGAGTCTCAAACCCCAATATTCAAAGGGGCTCAGCAGATAATGTAACAGTATGAATCTACCAGGTAGGAAAACAATGTGAAGGAGACTCAGAAGGAAAGCCACTACATCTGGCTGCGGCCATGCATGAAGATAAGCCCGTGGTTGCCCGAGTTGCAATTTTAAGAAAAAACAGAAATCAGTATTTATAACGTGTAGTTTTTGTTTTTTTAAGCACTGTGTACTATTTAGACAGGTAAACATAGCTAGATCCTGTATTTGGACTGCCAATTTGCAAACCCTGACCTGTAGGACCTTATAGCTGTATGTTTAATTAGTATTTTGGTGAATTAAACTGTAACGCAATGACACTTCTTTGAAGACATTAAATTTCCTCTATATTTACATGGAGTTGGACAATAGCATATGACAACTCTTTCATTTTCATCTCTTTTATCTTATACTTCAAGAGAGTATTAATAAATCCAGTGTATGCTAGTTGCTAAATAATAATAATGATTGAGTCAATCAATCAATGTCATGTCAATGGACTGTCTACTCCTCAAGAGGAATTCAGGTAGAAGAATTCCGATCCCCTTGACAACTAGTATAAAGCTGAAGCTGAACTCTTTGAAAATTTCAAGCTGGGGCTGAAATTCAGGCAATCTGCTTTCTGTTTTCTCACCTCTCCAGTGGTGAAATTGGGGAAGCAGCTTTGCTTTGCAGGATGTGAAGAAGAAAAAAGATGACTGAGAGAGATTTGGGCATTTTGTTCCCTGCAAAGTTTTCAAAACAGAAAGACCACACCTGTGCGCAGTGGGCTAGACAGCATCCTGCCTGGAGACATGGTTTCCTCGGTACTGCTCCAAGCCTCCAGAAAGTCCTACTGCCAAGCGCAATCACCTCCAACTCAGGTCTGTTCATACAGAACTGAGAATAGTGTGCTGTCATCTTGACTGAAAGGCAAGGGAGCAACAGAAGGGGTTTGGGATGACTGAACAGAGAAAGGATTGTGGGTCTGGGAAAACGCTGGCAGGGTTAGCGAACTAGAATTGTTTTAGTGATCTCCAAAGCTACATGTGAGAACTTTCAGATTTCTTGAATCTAGGCAGAGAGCTCGTGTTTCAGGGGTTCTGACAGAGGCTTAGACCATTGGTCTTTCTACCATTTGGCAATGACCAAGCCTTCATCTCTTCTACCCTGTTCTACAAAATCACTGAGTCAAAATGGCTTATTAGTGTCTAGAAAACAAACTCTATTCAGTTGTCAATTGATAAGTGCTCTTTCCCAATATTAAACTATTTTCTCCTTAGAAGGAAGGGTTCAGATTCTTCTTCTTGAATGCCCTTAGCTTCAAAGATCTTTTTCTTAGCGTCCTATCAGAAGTGGAGACACGAAAGAGAGCACTGAAGAGCAATGTGCCTGGACATGTATGAGATGTGAGGTTGACTTACAATCAGCATCTGCAAAAATAATATTGGGACTTTTCCCTCCAAGTTCCAGAGTTACTCGCTTCAAATTACTTCTTCCAGCTGCTTCTTGGATAAGCTTTCCAACCTGAAAGAAAGGAAACGGAGAGACATTTCACACACCTAGCCAATGAGATAGTCAGTGGCCAAAGCCAGCTGCGGGCAACAGCGGGATGCAGCAGTAATGGATCCTGCAAGACAAACCCGCCACTGGGTGACACAGGAACAGCTCCTGTGGTCAACTTGTGTGGACAAGATATAAGTCAGCTGGGATACAGTGTAATGTCCACACTAAAGTGAGTTAGATGATTGCTTTAGTTCATGATGGAAGGAGCAAGGAAAAGGGGGTTAAATCTCAAATATGAATCTCTGAAAGATTTCCCTGAAGACAAGTGGCAAACAGAATGTAACTAGAGATTTTCCATCACCGCACTGTTGCTTTTAGCTTTGGACTCTGGCCTCTAGAAAAAAGCCAACTGGCTCCACTTGAAAGACATGATGAATGCAACGCAAATTCCTCATTTATCTCCAAAAATGCCAGGTATGACTTTAATCACATGGTCCAAATATATATATATATATATAAGCTCGATGTTATGCCTTTGCCTCTGCCTAGGACTGTAGTAAAAGGATTCCAGAAAGCTCAGGATCTGTCTTGATTTGCGCACTGCCCGTTTATCCAGAATCCAAGCAAACGATAGGCTGAGTTTGGAGAAAGAGTTTATCGTTGTGTAGACTCCTATTTCCACTGAAGTTGAAAGCGTCAAAGTGGAAACCGGGATACATCACCTAGAGCCCCCATCCAAGGAAGAATGCACTGCCTCAGAGACTAGGAATGCTGTCAGCTCCTTCAGAGTCTGCCTCAGCTACAATGAGCTCCCTTGCTCAAGGGAATACCCTCCCCTGGAAGTCCCACATCCACTGATTGTAGGTGGCAGGGGGATAAAGGCCCTGCACTTTCAGCCCACCACAGGACAACTCAGGGAGACCATAGATGCTCCACCACGCCGCATGTGGTTGGGTGAAGCCGTCAGGGCTGCAGTGCAGTTGGACTTCCCCTCGTGTCTGCTCCCCTTCAGCAGAGATCCCTAATGAACAACCTGCATGCCAAACTCCAGCTCACTGACTCCTTCCGGATGACCTGACCTGGAGCAGAGTGCTGCTCTCCTGGAGGGCAGAGGTCACTTGATGGAAAATGCAGAGCCACCATATCGTCCATATAGGCAGTCTGCTCTTGTTGAGATGCAAAATGCTACTTGTGCCTGGAATCCTACTGAAAATTAAGTATTTTAAAAGCCTGGAGAAGAGAAATGCTAAATTTACATTTGACTCCTCTGGTCCCTTGTTGAGATCCTCAAAGTAGGACCAATTACTGCCCAAGCAGTGAAGAGTTGCGGTTAAGAGAAAAGGCCCTGGAGCCTGAGTTGTTTACTGATTCTGCCACTTAGCAACTATCCGACCTTGGGAAATTTATTTAGCTTTGCTGGGCCTGGGTCCCCTCCTCTGTAAATGGAGCTAAAAATAGTATCCACCTCAGAATTTAGTTGTCCTGAGGATGAAGTGATTTCAGATATACGGCCCTTAGAACCCAGCCTGGCGCACAGTAAGCACCCACATGTGCTAACCATGTGCATGAGAAGCTAGGCCCCTCTTCTTCCATGTTCAGTGAGGGACATGGAGGTGACTGTAAGAGGGGTACTAACTAGACCTTCCAGAGCAGGTCTCCTCATCTGCCAAACTGTCTACATGTGTCGACTGCTTCAGGAAAACCCTGGGGAAACTCTCTGACTGCCCCCTAGTCTCCAATTCTACTCATTAGCTGGATTAAATGCCTTTGTGTTTTTATTATTACTCTATCTCATGGCAAAAAAATTTAGGAAACATACTCTCATTCTGAGGAAACCTAACCTTGGGGAAAAAACAGCGATGTCTCTGAAAAAGGTAAAATTAGAGTCTCTTACAGAACAATGTTACTTACCGAGCAGATAAGAAGCACTAACATCTGGCCCTAACATCAGCGCATCAGCCAGACTGCCCCTTCTCTGCCTTGCAGCTTGTCTCCCTTCTACCTCGAGATAAACTCCCTAGAAAGGCAGGTTAGTGAAGGCCCCATCCTCAGGCAACACGTTCCCTCTCCTTCAAGAAGTAAATCCATGTACAGGAAGGAAAGGAGAACCTGGTCCTCTGTTCTGGCAAGAGACCAGCAGTCAGGTGAGAATTATGACCAAAGCCTGAGACCCCTAATGAGACGAGAAACCTGCACCCAAGGGCAGGAGGGGGCAAGAGCGCCATGGGGGTCCGCGAGAAGGCTACGGCCTGTGAGTGCCTGTTCCTCTGAGGCATTTTAGCGTGCTCGGCTCTTCTGCCCTGTTGATTGGTGGAGACTCATTGTAAAGTCCAGGAAGACAAACAGACAAGAGCTTTCTCAAAGAAGATAATCACTGGAAGTTATGAATATTATTAGTTGCATTAAAAACTAAGCTTTACTGAGTGGGTTTGTGTCAGACATTTACACACATTCACCCATTTAGGCCTCTCAAAAACTCTACAAAGTAGGTACTACCTCATTTTAAAGATGAGCAAACTCAAGAGTTAGAAGTCAATGGATGTTCGCAGGTTACTGGCAGAAGCTGTTGGACGCTATGCAGGCTGACTCCAGGGCCCAAGTGTGGGCTCACTCCCTCTCCTTCCATCCCCTCCTCCAGCATTCTGCCTTCCTTTCTGTATTTACCAAGCACCCAACGTGTACAGCACACCTCCAAAACCTTGTCCTTGAATTCCAAATGGATTTCAAAGTGAGTAGGAATATCACCCTTTTGTAGACACAAATGATGATCACAAATCATCAGTCACATTCTGCCTTCAGATTGACACTTTAAAAACAAGCAAAAGCAAGGAGAAATCATAGATTTTCCACACAGTAAGAATAAATGTTTGGGGCTGGTAAAGAGTGCTGGCCCAGCTGGCATCACATTTCTGTTAGTCTTACTCTCTGCCATTCATCAAATCACTCTATGAGTCGATATTTTTTGCCCCTAGGAATGTTGTCCAGTGATTATTCTCATGGCTACAGTAACTATACAAAAATTTTGCTCAACGTATGGTCATCATAGAAAAATACCTAGGAATAATTTTCTTGTATCAATGCTTTGCCAGCCTTTCCTTAGAAGCCAAACTTGTGCTAAACACTGCAAGGCAAATCTCAGATGAATAGTGCCTTTCCTCTTCATCTTTGGAAGAAGGTCAAGTTACAGCCCAGCCTCAAGAAAGAACTGGATGAGTCAGGCCACTGGAGGACCACTTCCATCTGGAGTGGCCTCAGGACAGGATACTTGAAAAATCCCAGTTTTTACCAATCTCCTTCCTTCAACACATATTCCTGGTTCTCCTTCTACATGCCAGCTGCAATGTTGGGCACAGTCTCTCACTGACAAGGAATCCACAGCTGAGAGGACTCCCACGTAAAGCTGGCAGTGCAGTTTTTCAGTCCACTTAGGGAAAAATCTGGATCTGACAATTTTAGATCTGAACAGATGAAATTATGGTTCTGCAGTACTTTGTTATAACCCTGAGTCAGACTACTCTGGGCCTTCCCCATAAAACAGGGCGAGGATGCAGCAACCTTCACTAATTACGGGATCAGGTGTCATAGACCTGCCCATGACACTCTCAGTTTCCAGGTTGGACCCTCTTTGGAGAACACATTACTATTCATGAATTCCGTCTGTGAGTGGAGCGAGGTTAAGTGACCCCAAACAGGAGGCACTCCCCATTGTTATTACCATGAGGGGGAAGGAGGCGAGGGGAAGGAGAAGAGAGGCAACTCCACAGCAGGAGATTCTTCAGAGGGAGGAATAATGTTTAAAACGAAGAGTTCAAGCCAGAACTCACTCCGTGTCTGCTTACCAAACATGGTAGGTTGTCTGCAAACCAACCTAAAATATTACAAATCCCATGCAAAGGTTTGCAAAACTAAAAGCCATGGGGTTAGAAAGTGTAAGAAAGAGCAAAATGCAGACATCAAACAAAGGCCTGGTGTTCACCGGCCATCTTAGATGGAACAGTAGTAAGGAGGGTCCTTGGGGACTTGTGCTACATGGTCACACAGAACGCCTTCACACATGCTCAGGAGGTAGACGTGCTGGGTGAGATAAATGAGGCTGCAAGGAGGCACAGTTCTTCTGAGTGCTTAAAAGTCAAGTCAATAGAGATGAACTTCATAAAACCAAGCCCTATTCTGATGGAATAGGCAATCTGTAAGATAAAATAGATAAGCACACAGTATGAGAAGCTAAATGCTGTATGTGAATATAGATTAAATAGGACAAAGTCACAAAATCACCAAAGTTTGAGTTCATCATTATCTTTTTTTTCCAATCAGAAACGATTTCACAATATACCCTTATTACACCTCCTGTCCTGTCTCTGACAACCTGGTTAATGATAACCATACTGAGGTTTATGGACTACAGTTCGGCCCATAGGAGTCAGGAGACGCAGGTACTACAAACTCTGGCTTGGCTCCTAACTTCCCTTCAATTTGGGAAAGCCACTTCCCCTCTTTGGGCCTTGGTTTCTTCCTCTGATGAATGAAGGCACAAGGCAAGCAGTTAATCTGTCCCTTCGTACTCCAGGTAGTTGGAAGAGATTAAAAAGACACACAGAACTCCTTGAGCCCCCGCTCATTCTGAGAGTCTGTCCGCAATTCTTTTGAATTCTTCTTGCCTTACAGAGCAGAAGTAGCTTTTCAAAGCAGCACCACAGCTGTGCTGAATGGTAGAAAACCCTGATCTTTTTTAGTTTCCCACACAGAGCTCATTATGAAAGAGTCAGAGATAGTGTTCCTATCATGTGGTTTCTTAACTTTGCACTCCCTGCAGTCTCTCAGCTGTATCCGTGTACCCCAAACAGGCAAGGGCGGGTAACTGGGGCTCCCCCACGCATAATGGAACTGGGCTAATTCTCAGCAGGAATGTTGGCACGGATCAACTCTGACTCCCATCCTTGTTTTGAATAGGCTTCAAGATTGATATCAGGAGTAGCCCTGGAAGAGGCACAATGTCCAGAATCATGTTCACGGCAATGCCA